TTCGTTCAAGGTTTTTTGAAAGAATACTGTCAATGGGCCGGCCAGAACGGTTGCTAATTCTTTGAGCAATCTGGGATGGAAGCCGTCTGGTCCACTAGGATGGGTGGCCCAGTGGTTAAAGTTCTGAGTACCAAGATTGGTGCAAAGAGGTGCGGGTTCGATCCCAGCTCTGTGCGCCAGTTTTTGGTCAGAATCGGCGAGGAGGCCGGGCGGTTAAGCAAAAGCAGAATTGGAGCAGTGAGTTGCGAGTTCGAAACCGCAAAATGCTGTGAATGTTCTGCGATGTTAAGAATCGGCGACAGGCCTGCGGCCTACTAAACGCTGAAACTGCCATTATTATTACTGGGCAGGTGGCCCAGTGGTTACAGTTCAGAGTACCGAGATTGACGCAGAGAGGCGCAGGTTCGATCCCAGCTCTGTGCGCCAGTTTCTGGTCAGAATCGGCAAGGAGACCGGGCGGTTAAGCACTGCAGAATTGAAGCAGCGAGTTCGAGACCGCAGAATGCTGCAAATGTTCTGCGATGTTAAGAATCGGCAACAGGCCTACGGCCTAATAAACGCTGAAACCGCTATTATTATGACTTGTTGGGATTTGGGATTTAGAGCTACCAGGCGCTTGAGAACCTCTTCTCTGTGTATTTCAAAACCTGTTAACTTCGAGCCGACTGGGCGCTCCTCAATATCTGGAATACTGTGCAAGTCCTCATCTGTGAACACACTGCTGGAGAACTGATTAAGAACGTTTGCCTTGCCATCATCAGGGGAAATCGTTCGTTGGTCTACTTTCAAATCAGATATACCGTCCTTTGACTTACAGTTCGAACTAGCGTACAAAAAGAAGGTTTCGGATTCTTTTTCGCATTTTAGCAATATTTTTTTCGAAGTTTTTCACTGAAGTGCGACAAACTTTTTAGCTTGATTTTGAGCTCTTGCATACAGGTTATAATCAGAATCGCTGCGAGTTCGTAAATAACGCTTGTAGGCTTCTTTCTTGGTCTTTAGTCGAGCTTTAACTGCACTGTTCATCCACTAGGACTTTTTGACTCCTCCAAGCGTAATCTTAGGTACACAGGTATCAACTGCTGACATAACCGTGTCTTTGAGAAACGACCATGAATCAGCCACATTCATGTCCTTAATACAGTCCGAAATATTCGCCGCAATCACTGTTTCACGGAGTTTATCATAGTCGCCTTTCGCAAAGTTCAAACGTTCACGCTTCCGAAGCGTCTTTTCTGCACAACACTTAATATTGAAAAACAATGATTGGTGGTGGCTTTTGCCCAACGGAGCCTCGTGGCGAAGCTCATCTATCATTGATTCTTCACTAGTAAACACAAGATCTAGAATATTTGGGGTCTGTTTACCCC